AGGCTGCAAAATGAGCCACCGAGCCGCGGTGAGTCACGCTTGGCTGCCCGTGGTAATGGGGAAAAGAAAAAAACACAGAAAAAAAAAAAGAAAAAAAAAGGAAAGAAAAGCAAAGTTTAAGTGCCACCATCTGCAAAGGGCAGCCCCGGCCAGCTGGTACGGGTGGGATTGTGTCCTCCTCCATCCTCGTCTCCACAGGTGCTACGGGAGAGTCAAGATCTTCAGGCAAAGTCACTTTTTGGTGGCTGTTTGGGAATTATATGGTTACGCAGAAAGTGCTTCTCACCTTGAGAAAAAAAGCTAACTGTCCACCAAGGAGGAAAACCACAAAGTCTCCAGAAAAGCTGCTTCAGCAGCACAGCTGGGGTGACACCTTCTTCTCATCCACATCCTTCTCTGCTACTCGGCCGTCACTAGGGGTACTGAGTGATGCCGACCCTTTCCTGTGTCAATGGTTAAGTCTTCTTCCATCCAGGCTGTTATGGGGGGAGAGCATCTCTGTCCACATCAGCTACAGCTGCATGGCTTCCAGGTTTCCTTGGTGGCCAGCCATGTCCCACTCACTTGGTGATGCTTGTGCAGAGAAACCCCATGGGAAACCCTCTTCTTTTGGTTTATCTGCTGTCTGGAGGCTTTAGAAATTCCAGTCATGGTCCATCTCCCATTTCCACCCTTGAGGGTTGTCAAGACCAGACTGGATAGAGCCCCGAGTTAGGTCTGAGCGTGGAGCTGACCCTGCTGTGACCAGGGTTGGACCAGAGACCTCCTGAGGTCCCTCCTAGGCTAAGATTACCTTGCAATCACATCATCTCCACCTCCAGTGGTGTTGCTCTGTCCTGATCTCGGTGGCATCGCTCCTGTATGAGACCAGCTGCTTCCTGCTGCTGTTTCTCCACTTTACACTGAGGCTTGCACCAGCCAGACCTTCTCATAGCCCTTGTCCTTCAGCCAGACCCCGCTGACTGTCCATCTTCAGTGCCATGCACAGACATCCTCCTGCACACTCTGCCAGCACCTCCTCATCCTGGATGGGCTCCCATCTCCTCTGTCCACCAGCCAGCCTTTCCTCAAGCCCCCAAGCAGGGATTCAGACACATGGGTCCACCTAGAAACGTCCTGCGAAGGGTTAATGCAGGTCCTTAGAACCTTTCATTAGGAGTGACCAGTTCCAGAGCATTAATCAACCCAGCTCCCACAGCAGGAGCTCATGGCTGTGTCCAAGGACTGTGCTACATTCTGCCCAGGTGTTTCCATAACTTGCTGGGGTCACATCAGCCTTGGGGTCACACCAGCCTTGGGGTCACACCAGCCTCATGCTGGGACTCAGCAGGTTGTGGTGTCCCCCTGTAGGAACCGTACCAAGAGGTGCTGATGGAACTATTGCCACCATTGGTATCTCTCCAGCACCCACCCCTGTCTCCAAAGCCCTCCCTCCCAGCCCAATTTCTCACCTCCATTGCTGCTGTTCCTGGCAAGTTTTGGTGGGTGGAGGTTGCCTTCTGCCCAGGTACAGGTGGACACAGCCCCAGAGAATGCGGCAGTTGGGGACAGATGGCCCTGAAAGAGGGGGGGACACGAAGGTCTGCACCTGCCCAGCCTGACAGTTCATTGCTCACAGCTCCCTGGACTCCCCCAGCATGAGCCCAGCCCACCCTGGGAGGACACCAGAGGGGTCCCCAGCATCCCAGGGGCTCCCCAACCAGTACAGCAGCATCCCTGGGGCTGTGCAGGCCCAGCAGCAGGACAGGTTTGGGCTGTGTCACAGCCAAGTCAAGGCCATGGCCACCACACAGCTGGGGACACAGGCAAGCTCCTGCAGGAGAGCTGGCTCCTGGGGCTCCTGCTTTGTGTCCTCCCTCATGCAGAGGCTGCTCCAGTCCTGCCAGAAAGTGGATTTATTCTCCTAGTCCCCTTAGAAACGCCCAAGAGGAGCGTTCCCTGCCTGCCCCTTCTCCTGCTGCTGGCCATGGGGACCCCTATGACTCCTGACCCCACCGTGCTGGGGGGCAGGAGGGCAGTCAGTGCCGAGCCCCACGGTGGGTTCAGAGGGGAGATGCAGCCCATGGCAGCGTGCATCCAGTATGAACCAGTATGAACCAGTGCTGCTGAGAGCACACCAGTGCCCAGGTGGGGTGCAGACACCCACACCTCTCTGGAGCCCCCAGAAGGACCTCAGGAGCTCGTGGCTGCTCCCCAGGTGGGAAGGGCCACAGGGGTGGAAAGATCCTTGAGGAGACTCAAGCCCTCCCACCACCACGGTGCTCAGAGGGGTTCAAGGGGACAACTCACCCTCCAACACCGTCCCCCCGCTCCCCTCCCCTTCCCTACTGGGGCTTTGGGACCCCACAGACGGACCCACACCTCCCCTGGGGACCCACCAGCAGTCAGGGAGTCTGGCAGCAGACACATCTGGCCAGAACCCACCCAGGCTCCACACGCTTTAAATCTCAAGAGCATTATTTTTAGCTTTCCATCTGTACACGAGGAGCAGCCTCACAAAAAGCGCTATAATCTGCTTACAGGAAAACGCAACAGGGCGGCGGAGAGGCCCCAAAAAGGGTCCCGGGGGTCAGCTCGTGCTGAGAAAAGCACCCCAGGGCTTGGTTCCCCCCCAAAAACCAGCCCAACATCACCCCGAGCTGCTCTCCAATGGGTTATTTTTCACCTGGAATAACCAGACACCGCTGGCTTCGGCTCCAACTCCTCATCCCTCGGAATCGCCATCTCTGCTCTGAGCCCACAGGAAAGGTTTCAGGGTAAACATCCCAATTTTTTGTGCAGAATAAATGCATTTTCTGATGCCTTCAGCCTGTAGCAGCTTTAGGGCATCCATAGGATGTCCCGCTGTGGGGCACTGATGTCCCAGTATGCGATGGCTTGAGGTGCTTTTGCCAGCTGGGGCTGGAAGGGAGGTGGGAGCCTGGGGTAGGGAGGGGACTGGTCTTCAGAGGGTCCCCAGGGGCTCTCAGGGAGGGCCCAGCCATCCTTTAAAGCTCCACTGATGGGAAAACCACCTTCACCTGCCCTTCACTGGGCTGTGGGGCAGCACAGACCCTGCTCCCTCCCCACCACGAGGATGTGGGGTGGCCGGGGAGGCAGCATGACCCACCGGGCTCGTCCCACAGTTTGTCCCTGCCTTTGTGGTTTCCCTGGTGTCTGTGTCACGGGCTGTGTCCCTGGGCCAGATCCAGCATTGTCCCCAGGGCCACCTGCTCCTTGTCCCCAGGGGAGTGTGGCCCCTGGCAGCCCACCCTGCAGGCACAGGCCTCTGCATGGCGAGGGGCTGCCACCATGCCACCACCCCACAGCACCCAGCCAGGGGACAGCCATCAGGACACCACACCTGGGGATGAAAGACTCCTTTGACTCTCCCTGGGGCTGCATGGAGTGCTCTGGGGGAGATTAAGGGGGTCTGGACCCACGTTCCCATCCCCGTGACCCCCAGTTTGAGGGCTGGACCCTCTTCCCCCATCCCCACGTGACACAACCGGTGACCCTCAGCGCGGCTGGACCCACATCCCAATGCCTGCGTGATGCAACTGGGGACCCTGGGCAGAGCTGGACCCTCATCCCCATCCCTGTGTGATGAAACTGGGGAACCCTGGTGGGGCTGGACCCCCAGCCCCCTGCCTGTGTGACCCCGCCAGGGATGCCAGGCAGGGCTGGACCCTCATCCCTGGGACCCAAACAGGGACCCCCAGTGTGGCTGGACCCTCATCTCTATCCCTATGTCACCCAACTGGGGACCCCCAGTGAGGCTGGACCCCCATCCTTGCCCCTCTGTGACCCAACCAGGGACCCCCAGTGTGGCTGGACCATCATCTCTATCCCTATGTGACCCAACTGGGTACCTCCAGTGGGGCTGGACCCCCATCCTTGCCCCTCTATGACCCAACCGGGGACCCCCAGTGGGGCTGGACCCATCTCTATCCCTGTGGGGACCCCCAGTGGGGCTGGACCCATCTCTATCCCTCTGTGACCCAACCGGGGACCCCCAGTGGGGCTGGACCCTCATTTCTACCCCTCTGTGACCCAACCAGGGACCCCCAGTGGGGCTGGACCGTCATCTCTATCCCTGTGTGACCCAACCGGGGACCCCCAGTGGGGCTGGACCGTCATCTCTATCCCCGTGTGACCCAACCGGGGACCCCCGGTGGGGCTGGACCTGGACCCTCATCCCGGTCCTCGTGTGACTGCAGCTGGGGGGGGGTGTCTCCGTGGGGGCCGTGCCGGAGCTCCGTCGGGGCGGCCCGAGCCCCGGGAG